CCCCTCCTACACACACAAACCCTAAACCCTAAACCCTAAACCCTAATTTTATGCTGGGGGGAACGATACACACACGACCACCCTCCTATACACACAAACCCTAAACCCTAAACCCTAAACCCTAAACCCTAAACCCTAGATCGATGAACAAAATATTCATAACACCCCAATCCAACATACAAAAACTCTAAACCCTAAACCCTAAACCCTAAACCACCACCGCCCATCCCCCCGCCCCTCACCCCCATGCACACCCACCCCCCACCCCCCAAACCCTAAACCCTAACCCCTAAACCCTAAACCCTAAACCCTAAACCCTCGCTTACTTCATCTAGATTGGGTACATCAGAGAGATGAGAGGAGTGCAGAGCGGATAAGGGTTTATGTTGGTGTTTGTGGTTATAGAGAGAGAATCCATATAAACCCTGATGGTTTAGTTGTTTACTTGAGTGAGAGTAATATAGGGTTTTGTACTGCTGCTGCTGCTGCTGCTGCTGCTGCTGGTGCTGCTGGTGCTGCTGCTGCAGCTGCAGCTGCTGCAGCAAGGGGACAGGTAAGAGAAATATCCTCTTATAAAGAAGAATACAACGTATATTAAATAAATTAATTAATATACAGTTACGTCTCACCTCTATACTATAAACCCCACCAAAAGGAGACACCACCTGGCGCAGGTCCCGCAGCTTGAGGGCCCCAGCAAGTGTCTCCGAGGAGACACCTGTGGGGTTATGTAGGTGTACAAGCCGCAGCAGCTCGGGTGTATGTACAGCTCTCCTGCTGCAGCTGCTGCCTCTTATCTCTATCACTGTATATCTTCTGCTTCTATGCGATAGAGAAGAAGAACCATACATAGACAAACCACAACATAAACCTCTGTCTCCTCCTCCCTCTCCTGCTGCTGCACCTGGAGGGGTTATTGCTGCTGCTGCTGCTGCTGCTGCTGCTGCTGCTGCNCTCCCTCTCCTGCTGCTGCACCTGGAGGGGTTATTGCTGCTGCTGCTGCTGCTGCTGCTGCTGCTGCTGCGGCGGCGGGGGGAAGAGCTGCTGCTGCTGCTGCAGATGGGAAAGAGTTGCTGCTCATGTACGTGTCTCCTTCTATGTGTCTCCTTCTATCATCATCGTCATCGTGGTTTATTTCTGCTGCTGTTGTTGCTGCTGCTGGTGTTGCTGCTGCTGGTGATCCTGCTGCTGCTGCAGCAGCAGCAGGAGCAGCAGCAGCAGAAGCAGGAGAGCCAGGCCACGGCTGTCTCCATGTGTGTATGTCTCTTCTTCTCTCT